TGGGCCAAAGCTTAGTTACCTGCTGAGGAATCTGAAGATGTCATTAATTCAACTGTATACTGACCACTCTACAATTTCTACCTTCTTAGTGGTATTACTCTGCTACACAGGCATTGAAAGAGTTTTAAAGAATAAACTCACAGCACATGAACAGAAAGGCAAGTAGGATGAACTAGAATCTTTTGCTGAATCAGCACTAAAATCAGCCCTTTTCACAAAGGCCCTCAATATCTGAAAGGCTAAATCTTTGGAGAGGTGGTATTTACTTACTTACTTCTTTCTTTATTTTTGCGGCTCATTAAATTGCTCAGAAGAAGTAAAGAGAGGCATAAAGAGCTAAATGATAAGTTTAAATGTCCAAAATTTCTTTGCCAAAAAATAAATAAATAAAAGTGAGAGCAACAGAAACTTTCCTGAAATGTTTTGATTCGTCAAACCTTGAAGTCATCCAAGTAATAAAGTTTTAGATCTAGATGATCAAATAACAGTCGTATGGATTTCTCTAACTTCGTACATGTTAGACCACTATATTTTACACAAACTATAAAATCGTCTGTCATTATTAGGGGGAAGATATTGAAACAACAAATGGAAGGTTCAATGGGGTGGTGGTGGGGGGGGGGGGTCTCCTCAATCAGGGCTTATGTTCATCTAGAGCCCAATCGTGGCCGACCCATCACACAGACCCACAGACCAGAGGCTTCTGAGATGCTGAGCTGTCTCCCAAATTAGATGGATTTCATTAAATTTCCCTTCTCTGAAAACTGACCATCCAGGAAACTACAAACCATGCTGTTTGATTAATTTGTAAAACCTGTTACCACCTGTGCCGAGAGATGATTAAAGTGCTTTTTCAATAAACTGATTTTGGATCGGTGCCTATACCAGTGAAGGTATCACATACGATGCACATACATATGTGCCTTTTTAAAGCAATCTGTTGTCATGAAGATTGGTATGAGATATCTGCTATTTACAGGGTGTTGATCTAATACTGTAAAGGTTAAGCTCTAACTCCTGGAATGGAGGAGTGCCTACCTAACTCATCTGAATTTTTCTGTAGGGGAAATTTGTCTCTACAGCCATTCATTCAGTCATTTGTTTATAGTAGTGTGGACGCAGAGATATTTATTTCATACTAGTGGCCCAGTGCATGGATTCATGCACATTGAAAGGAAATTAATTAGAAGAAATATTTTTAAATTGCCAGTGCACGTCGGACATACAACTGGTCACTTAGCCTATTATATATATAGACTAGAGGCCCGGTGCACGAAATTCATGCATGGGTAGGGTCCCTAAGGCCTGGCTGGCGATCAGGGCCAATTGGGGCCTATCTTCGTTCTGTGCCGCCTCCTGTGATCAGCGCACGTCATAGAGAGCGATCGAACTCACAGTCTCCCGGTCAAACTCTCGAGTGGACACTTTGCATATTAGCCTTTTATTTATAGGAGGATTTGGGGTTACAACCCAATGCTATGTTATTTGTTTTCTTGTCCTAGTTTTGGCCATTGGGAGCAATTTCAGGTTGGCTCTGGTATCCCTCCGACATGCCCCATCCTTTTGTTTTTGAACATTTCATTACTTTCTTCTCCATGTTTTTTATCAGCAAAAAATGCCTTAGTTTAAAAAAGGGCTTTTATGGGTTGAATTGTGTCCCATCTCCCCCAATTCATGTTCAAGTTCTGGCTACCAGCACCTGAGAATATGACCTGATTTGAAATGGAGTCACTGGAGATGTAATTACTAAAATGAGGTCATACTGGGGTAGGGGTGGGCCCCTCCTTCAATATGAACAGTGTCCTTACAAAAGGTGGGAATTTGGGCACCGACAGCACACCAGCAGAGCACCATGTGAATATCCGGGCGATGCTTCTTCGGGCCAACGAATGTCAAAAAGTGCCAGCAAAACAGCAGATGTGCCCTCAGAAGGAGTCAACCTTGCTGACACCTTGATCTTGACCTTCTAGCCTCCAGAAGGGAAAGAAAATGAATGCCTGTTGTTACTCAGCTGTTGCTTTGCCATGGCAGCCTTTGCAAACAAATAAGGAGCTAATGTCATTGAACTCTGCATTCCCATGAAAAACAATGCATAAATGTGGTATCAAAAGCAGCAGGAACGTCCTAACAACCATCTAAGAGTACACTGGCAATGAGAGCACGCACTTCGGACATGAACAGAGTGTGGGGGCAGTGTTTTCAGAGCCCTCCTTTCCCCTGCAGAATGTTCGGCCACCTGCAGCTTGGCTCAGAGCGCTCCCTGCCAAGCACACCTGCGAGTACAAGCAATAACCACCCATCTAGCGTAATCACCATCTTCAACATGCTAAGTACCAGCTCCGTGAAAGCTGAGCATTTCCCAGGTGCCCCGCACAGCAAGCCTGCACGGAGCTGACACGGGAGACCCAGCCATGTCATGTCAGGTTGGCATTTCTGGTCGCTGTTTAATGACTCACTCTGCCCCATTTCCATCTTCCCTAAGTCACGTCAACAAGTGGCCAGAGGCTTAGAATGGGGCTGAATACCACCTCATTAGAAGTCATACAAATATCGTACAGTCATCCAGTATTTAGTACCCTAAGCTCTCCCATGAACGGCTTTCAGTCCTCAGGAAAGAGAAGTGACTTGCTCTTACAGAGTTAAGACATGGAAGAGGCCGGCTAGAATCTGATCTGTCACCTCACACCACATCCAGTGACCTTCATGGAGGTGAAATCCAAGCACCGGGGTGGGTAAATATGGGAACGTTTTTCTTTCTTCAGTTAACTGGGGGACAAGGCGCTGGCGGTGACAGTACAGGATCTGGAGTAATTGTTTGGAAATCGTTTTCATTAACAAAGCTCTGGTTGTCTGCATTTTTATGCCTACGTTAAAAATCTAATGAAGTCATTAGGCTCAGGCCAGCTCGGGAAGCCTCGCCTGAGTGTGCATCCCTCCTGCAACCCCCAGAGCTCTGCTATAATCCTTCAAATTATTAAATAATTACCGCGTTTCCCTTGGGTCACGCTTGGCAACAAAACACTGGTCTAAATGAACCAACGATATGACCCAGTGAATAACACTTAATGTTCTTAACTTCCCCGAGCAGCCGAAGGATATGAAATACTTCCGAGGTCCAAGGTGGGGAATAGAAGAAGGAGTATTCTGTGAGGTCTGGAGGGTAGGGAGAGTAGAATGACAAAGGAACAAGAGAATCTGGGAAATATTCCAATAACTGGTGTCATCTCCTCCCCCACCAACCCTGTATGTCGGCAATTCTCCACTCTGATCCTAGTTCCCTTCCAGATTTCAGGAGTGGCTACAGCCACCAGAAGAGAACCAGGCATATGGCTCTGTCCTTCTGGACGTTTCTACAACGTTGGCTGGGTTGCTCTGGAAAATCCCATTCTATCTCCGACAGCTCTGTGACCTCAAGTTGTCATTTCCAATCAAGTATGCTTCCACTGATTTTTATGAACATAGACAAAAGCTGCTACAACCATTTCTCCCCCTCCCAAATCTTTCAAACCTACTGTAGTTGCTATGTTAGGTTATTTGTTTCTAAGGCAACAGCGTATATCTAAGTACTAATGGCCTGTCCTTTTGCCAGGCAACAAACAGCCTTGTGATGCAACTGCACCTGTCTCGGCTACGCGTTACTATGGAGACGCTCTGGTTGCTATGGATACCATCACGCTAATCGCCTAGCAAAGGCAGACATACAGCAGTCTTCTCAGAGAGCCCAGCTGTTCCTCCCCGTCTCTTGCTGAAGACTGATTGTCTACCCCTGTGATGGAATGCTCTCAACTGAGATGCGCAGGAACTTCATTAACGCCGTTTCCGAGCATCCCTCTGCTCCTTTCTGCAGAGCACAAGGCTAGAGAAAGGATCTGCAGAGCCGTGGACCACAAAACTGCTGAAATCTATGAAGTCACGCCGTTTCTCATTGACATAAACCTGCAGTCCAAGGATAATTTCTCTCCGCTGGGTGGTCACAACAGAAACATTACTAGACATTAAAAATTATTCTTCTACCCTAGCTGGTTTGGCTCAGTGGATAGAGCATCAGCCTGTGGACTGAAGGGTCCCAGGTTCGATTCCGGTCAAGGGCACATACCTCAGTTGCAGGCTCCTCCCCGGCCCGGGCCCTGGCCGAGGCTCATGCAGAAGGCAACCAATCAGTGTGTTTCTCTCACATCAGTGTTTCTCTCTGTCTTTCCCTCTCTCTTCCATTCTCTCTAAGTCAATGGAAAAATGTTCTCGGGTGAGGACAAAAATAAATAAATTATTCTTTCTGTAGGATTGAGGGCTTTATTTCAAAGCCAAGCACTGTGTAAGATAAAATCAATTTTAAAAGTTGGTTCTGTTCTATGTGGCTTTAAAAAAACACACAATCTAACACTAATCACACTTCTTTGAAAAGTAACAAGCTACACATCCTCCCCTCCACTTATATCTTTATAAAAATGGCACCGGGGACCTCCTTGCCGCAACACAAATGGGCATGTGAAGGGGAACAGACGTCTCGATGGTTCTCTGCGCTTGGCTCTGAAGAGGCAAACACCAAGTAACCACAACAAAACGGTCACTCGGGAGCCCGTCCACATGGCGACCAGAACGACAATAGTGGGGTGAGTCCTGCAGTGGACACTGTAGGCACTCCGGTCAGAGGACAGGAAGACAGACTCCCTTACGCGGCTCATTCTGTACTTTTATTCCAACAAACTGTGGCACGCTGAGAAGTCAGAGCTGTCAACTTTTCCTGGTACATGTTTCTACCCTGGAAGGCAGTCTCTCACCCGCCCTGAAGCCTTCGGAAAACCCATTCCTCCAAAGCAGCAAAAGCGGTAAGGTTTGCAAGAAACACTACAGCAGAGGTACCTCCGATAAGACTTTCTCTCTTTCTCATTTGCCTATTTTCAAAAGCATGCAGTCTATTAAATTAGTTTCAGCGCCGGTCTCTGCCAATATAAGGCAACTTCAGTAGACAAAAAAAAAAAAAGTAAATCTGAATTGCTTACCTTTGATATGCCTGAGGAGAGGCGGGAGGTGTATTGAACACATGAGGGTGTGGGTGATAAGGTGTCTTTTTCAAAGCCTGAATTAGATTTTGTCTATACTCCGGGTCTATGCACCACAATGACCCTTTCCCAATACTCTGCAAAGAAAATGAAAATACAACAGTGATTAGTACAGAAAGTATTATTTTGCATGAAGTAGATGTGTAGCGATTATCATAGTTACTTAAGAAAATTAAAATACAAAAGTGAGTAGTACAGAAAATATTATTTTGCATGAAGTAGATTTATAGCTACTATTCACTTATTTTTTGAAAGCCTCTCTCACTTATTTGTCAACTGTTTGCCAGCCGTAAATACCATAATATTATAATTATACTCGGACAACAGAAACCGGAACCTGCGCTTCAGTGTAACTCGTGTGAAGTCTGACAGACAAAATGAACATATTACCAGGTGAGGCTGAGACCATAATATTGTCGTGTTCATATCTTAACGGCCAAAACCACTTAGATTCCTTTACTATTTTTCAGTGTCAACTTTGAAGAACACGTATTCTCTTCTAAAAATGAATTTTAAATGTCAGATTTGAAACAGTGAAAGAAAACGTGGGCTAAGGATGCCTCTCCATCTCCGCTTTAGAAAAACAAGACTTGTTGTTGTTTTTAAACCCTGTTACATGGTACTACTTTGCAAGCCAGAAAAGTAATCTGCTCCTTTTTTCCTACTAACTCGCAAAAGTATGACATTTAAGCTTGAAGTGGAATTCTGTAATTCTCCCCCGAGAAACAGAAGAACTGGGGCTGCGGTAAACCTAAGCCAGCCTGCATTTATCTTCCGATTCCTCTGTTCCCAGCGCTCTGCTCCAGGCCTAACGGGGTTGTCTTTAGAAGTCCAACTTTAAAATGCAAATTTTATAAAACTGGTTACATGGAATGAGAAAGACTTGCTGAGGCCCACTTTCTGTGGGAGGCTTTTGGTCTGTGGACGGCGTTTTATTAAAAAAAAAAAGTCTCTCCCGTGAGGCCCATGGGACTGGCAGCTGGCCGATGGGCAGTCTCTGCTCCGACTGCTTTCAAGTGACCGAATGTACCCGGGCTGTTTGATAAGGTCATTTGTAAATATTTACTGATTTGGAGAGAAAAGAAGTCAAATTACATAAACCCATGCCCACCCCATGTTTCCAGCCAACGGACTCTCTTATTTTCAGAACTATTGTACTCCAGGAAGATTTAGAGAGCAAACAAGAAAATTGCTTAACTATTACTAGGGAGTGGGTGGGGGAGCCCAAGAAAATCTCTGAGGAAAATAAGTGAGTCTGAAAATCTTTAAAGAAGCTTAAAAATATGTGTATTTCAGTCAGTTCACCAAATCATTTACTTACAAACTTATTCACAGAATGCATTAGAATTCTTTACTAGCAGCACCATCAGCAAGCAGGGGAGCCGCAATTAACTCTCGCTGGTGGGCTGAGGGCAGGGAACTGCTCAAGGCCAAGGTCAGAAGCGGGAGCCCGTCACCCCAGTCACCCGCTCCCAGGCGCAGCCCTGACCCCAAACACTGGTCCATCAGACCCAAGTTCCCAGTTTAATCACCCCGCTGTGTAAAGATGCCAAAGATTTCAACTTGGGAAAATCCAGCATCCCTTTGTGGCCTTTTCTTTCGTGTGTCCATTTCCAAGCCCAGAGCATGCATGTCAAACTCACGGCTGGCGGGCCACAAACGAGGTATGTGGCCCGCCGGCCACGGGTCTGACATGCTTGAGTGCAGGGAACTGAGGAGACTTTATGGTTAAAGCAGTTAGGCCACCAAATGATCTACTGTGGACCCTCTGTTCTTTTCTTTGGAAAAGACATACTCAACTCGCTTTTTAGAAGAAAGCGAAAAGCTAAGGGATGTGGAGGAAGAGGGGGGGCAGGGTAGACCATAACTACCGAATGTGGATAATGTCAAGCAAAGCACAAAAGCCCCCAAGAGCCAGCAACTCCTGAGCAGTGGGGTCCTGCCCTGACCGCATCCAAGACCCATGGGGAGTCCAGTGGGACCTGCCTTTCTGATCCACTTGAACACAAGGCCCCAAACCAGCTACCTGGAGGGCCCGAGCTCACATGCAGCCCAACCATTTCTGCAGAGAGGTGATCTGAGCCCTGGGAACCCAGTGGCTTTTGTTTTCATTAAGGCAGCTTTCAGGGATAGGCCGTTAATCTTACAGGGAAAAAACATGACCAAGCAAGGAAGGACAATGGACCCTCCCAGGGAAATAACAATAGGCCAAGAATGTGGTTTCTCCTAATCCTGACCTAAGTCGCTTGTTGATTATACTACCACACTATTTACAAACCAAATGGGAAGACCACAGGATGGGGGTGGGCTGGGGTGGGGGTAACATTTCCCAAGGTAACTGACCTAGGTGCAAGAAGCGGGCGGAGTTACAATAAAAACAGAAATTCTGGAGCCCGACATTTCCTGTGCGGCCCTGAGCAAGCCATGGTCCCACAGAAAGTCTTGGCTTCCTCGTTGGCAAAATAAAGGCCCGAGAGACTGGTGGAGGCCAGCAATGGCTTGTGAAACACCTAGAACAGGGGCAGCACCTGCAGGTCCCAATAAATGGGGATGACGTCATGAACATCTTTCTGACAGAAGGAAGAGAGCAGAGTTGGCTGTGCAATGCCTTTCAGTAAATCACATCCAATTCCCCCAAACCCATCCATCAGCAAGCTGGTGGCAGGAGAAGGTAAGAGTCTACTCATGGGTGCAGTTTAACAAATTCACTTGGAGGAGCTTTCCTACTCTCTCAGATCCGCGCCCTCCCGCCCCCCCCCCCCCCGCCAATTATTCCATCAGCCTTCTATGCACCCCTCACTCCATGTTTCCTCTACTGCACCTCTCCTTTGCTCAGGAAGCCAATTCTGGCTCACAGTAACCTAGCTGCTGGAAGTTTCCTTTGGCCCAATCTTTGTACAGTGATCATCAAGCTGAGGTTTAATTGCAGACTTGGTCAGCGCATAGTCACAGTTCATTCATTCACTGCAGCCATCTGCCTGGGCTTTGGATCATAATGGTGTCTACCTTGGTCAAGTCCTGCATTTTATAGTGAGAGGGGCCAGAAAACCTGATAGGTGTTTACAGACCAGTCACTAATTTCAGGATCTCAGAATTTCCAAAGAGCCAAAAATAAACAAAAGCAGCACCTCTTCAGGACACACCCAGGGCAACACTGTCAGTCTCGTTAATCCTGCCAATGACCTGACAGCGGAGAGCGAACAGCAGAGAGCGGGAATGACTGGGTCTTATTTGCAAGCCTTCTCCTTGGTTTCATGTTAGGGTTCAAAATTGTAGGAAGGTTGACTTGGAAACATTTCAGATGGAAACATGCAGGAGAAAATGCTTATTTCTTAGGTCAGGAAAAATTACATTTAATGGAGGGGAGAAGGCTATAATTTTATTACAGTTGTGCAGTATGTTTGAGAGTAAGAGCTTTCAGAGGTATCTGCATCTTATCTAAATAATATGGGTGGTTGTGGTGTTTTTTTTTTTAACCATAACTGTGTGGGTTATGTTTCATTGAATGTTAAGGAATTCAAAATTATAAGGGAAGAAAGATCTTCATTCATAGATACACTTTCACATTATATACATATATAAATATAATTATATAAATATATATTATATAATATATAAACGTATAAACATCAATATATATTTTACACACACATAGTTTGAAAAACACTAATGTAAAAAGTAAAGGGGGGAAATGAGTAAAAAGATATGAAGGAGCCAACCTTTTTTGTTTTTGAATTAAAAAACACCTGGGGAACAGCAGACAACTTCCTGTTAGCAATAAAAACATCAGTACATAAGAGGGAAACCACACACACACACATACAAGAGAAGCCTATATTGTGGAACTGATTAGTGAGAAATGGTTTAAAAAAGAGAGAGATAAGAACAACAACTAAATCAAACCCTCAATCTAACCTCTATAGTGACTTTCATTTTTCCTGAGAGCGCTAGACCCAGGGCCGTCTCTGGCAGCTCATGGACCTGCACGGCAGCACCTGGAGGTTTGCCTGGCATCGTCTCCGTGCGGGGTCTGCCCCAGGTGGTGAGTTCTGACCGTGACTTAAACACTGTTCACAAACTGAGGACTATGACACATGAACGGGTCATGAAATCCATGTAATGGGTTAACAGCCAGCACTGTTTTAATGGAACAGAACAGAACCAAATAGACTAGACTAGAAAATGCCTGGAGCAAGTAGTATTTTGTGAAACCTGTAAGTGTGTACACATGTACACAGGTGCACATAGATCACAAGGTAACATACACTTCTAGGAATCTGGGTTCCAAAAGTATGGTAAACACTGGCCGAGGACAATGGTTCCCATGTTTTTTCTTCTTGTCACTTGTGGGGGGATAAGGCCCACGTCCAGCAATAATGAAGGGCTCTCTCAACGTGACACCCCATGCAGGGCGGGGCTGTGCTTGGGGAGGGGGGGAGGGGACAGGACCCACATCAAAATGGAGCAGGGAGCTGGATACATGTTCTGGGCGAATTTGAAATCATCCTTTTGATGTTTCTGATATGTCATATCTGAGGGTGTTTCCCACACCAACCACCTCATCCATCCCCTCATCCATAAGGTACCCAGGGTGTGCCAGGCAACGTGGGGACACATTAGTGAATGCAGAACAGGGCAAACAGGGTCCACTCTCCTGAAGCCTGGATTCTAGAGGGGGAAGAGGAGAGTAAAGAGAAAAAACTATGCAAGACCATGACAGACCGTAATGGCTTCTGTGAAGAAAATAAAGAGGGTGACAAGTTGAAAGACAGGAGCTGCTAGGAGCCGAGGCCTCCATCCAGCCATGGTGGCCGGGTCAGAGCATGGAGATGGAGAAGAGAGGACAGCTTCAGGGTGGGCTCTGGAGAACCAGCGGGAGCTGGTGATGGATTAGAACTTAAAGAAAAAGTGGCAGGTAAAGAAAAAGAAAAAGAAAAGAGTAAGTCTTTGGTTTGAGCAACGCAGTGGATCAAAGATTGGGAAAGGGGAAAATGCAGGGCTCATTGGAACATACAAGCTTTGAGACGCTGATGTATTAAGAATGACTGATGGCCCTGGCCGGTTTGGCTCAGTGGAT